TTATTTCCAAATTAGGCAATCTAGTCTATACTTGTTTGCTGTGCGCATAACATAGTAATTCTAGGCTAACAATTGGAATAAGAACACATAATGTTTTCAAAAACGGATATCACGGTTAGTAGAGGCCGATCTTCGGATCGGGCGAGAGGGGCTGCTCATAGCTGACCTTCCCCAATCGTACCCTAGCTCCCGAGCTGAGACAACTCCGGTGATGATGGACATGTGGTCTTCGGCACCGAGTCAGGGTTTCCTAAATTCTCCCATTTTAAAATATTTAGGTGGCGACTCTGTATCTGGCAAAGCAGTCCATGTTTGGCACTTCTTTCAAAAAATTTATTTTTTCTCAAAACGATTTGCCGGATTTGGACTCTGTGGTTCAAGATTAAGAACCGTGACACAAATCGAGTCCGAACTGTAGCGAGGGCCCCCCCACGCGGGCGCGTCTACAAGGACCTTACATTGTCAAATCTCGGTCGCGTCTAGGCACTTACCGTCTGCAAGATATGGATGGCAAAGACCTCCCTCATCCATGGAATGCTGAGCACTTGAAACGGTATTTTCAGTAGAATGGAGTCTTCTCCTGTTGTACTATTCATTTTGATGTTCGAACCACTTGTTCATTTTTGTTATTTCAATACAATGTATAAGCTTATAATGGCAAGACTGCGCGTTAATGACAAAGATATTCAACCCCCATTATTCGTGTTGTACATTTGGTGAGTGCTAAGCCAGACTAAGCCCTCAAAGCTTTAGCCAGACTGAGCATGAAGAGCTCAGCCAGGCTGAGTCCTCCAAGTCTCAGCCAAATTGAGCATGAAGATCTTAGCCAAACTGAGCCCTTTAAGCCTCAGCCAGACTAAGCATAAAGAGCTCAGCCAAACTAAGCCCTCCAAGCCTCAGCCAAACTGAGTCCTCTAAGCCTCAGCTAAAATGAGCATGAAGAGCCCAGCCAGACTGAGTCTAACAAACCTTAGCCAAACTGAGCATGAAGAGCTCAGCTAGATTAAGTGTGGAGAGTTTTCCTTCTCAAACACAAACTTCACCAGTTACAACATTGTTTCATTCATTAAAATTTGATTGATTAAACTTACAATTCACCAATTCACACTTTGTTTTTGAACAAATCCAGTTTTTTGCAATCACATGTTTGTTTCTACAATTTTCAAACTCCATTTTGTTCTTTTTTTCAATTAATATAACTTGTGCAAGGCTAGTTTATTACATAACAATGAAAAAGGCAAAACAAACAAGAGTTTATTACAGCACAATTTAGAAGAACAATTTTTGTAATTTAATGCAAATTTCTTACAAACTGTAAAATTCTTTACAAAGGCTAATTAAAACAAAACAAAGCAAATAAGATGAGGCACTACACTCCCAACAGCTTAATCTACTCTGCCTTCTTCTCTTTCTTTCCCATTGGACACCGGATCTTCTTTTTCAATACCCTCATCCAATGAGGTCTAGGTGATGTCTCCCTCCCCTAGCTTTACGCGGGTGAAGTCGATGTCTAGGAAGAGCTCCTCTGCCATTTGCTAGAAGCTCATCCACCCACTGTCCCAGTAGATGCTCAGCTGATGCTTGTAGTAATCAGACTGCTGGAAGTTTTGTATCATCTCTGCATTGGCCTGCCCTTCCACCAGTTCAGCCGTTGCCATGTTTGAGGGCCCAACCTCACCTTCTTCCTCTCTGGCCAGACTTGTGGCTACAACAGCATTTATGGCTATTTAGAATTCTGTTAACTGCTTATACTGCTCTACAGCTGCGCCATAGAAGTCAGGGTAGACCGCTCTATCTGACAGCAAGGTCCTGGCCAGCTTTGCCGACTTCCCTCTCTCCTCCTTCAAGGCCTCTTTTTCAGCAACAAGAGCCCTTTCCAATTCAGTAACCCATGCGTTTGACTCCTCTTTATTCTTCAAGGCTAGATCGGGCAGCTCTTTATTATTGGTGAGGGCCTCATCTAACCTTTCATTGGCAGTGGTGTAGGCTTGCTGGGCCTCGCCAGTCATCTTCTGCTAGTTCGCCACTTCAAACTCCAGCGACACCACTCTTCAACGTGCCACTTCGAGCTCAACCTTAACGATCGACAATTAGGTAACAACCTCAGTCTGGCCCATCCTGGCGTGCTCGGCCTGTAACTCTACACCACCGTTAACACCTCTATCTTCTTCGCTCTCTGAGTGTATGCTAGGACCTTCGCACAGGCGTTCCGTGCTGCGTTTCTCCAACCTGCTGTCTCCACCCTCACATTTTGCAACTGCACCCGAACCTCCTCAAAATGGGCCTTAAGCAGCTCCACCTCGAGCTTTGCCTCCACTCCCTTGCCCAACAGAGCAGCCGCCAGCGTCAATGCCTCTATCTGCACTGAGTAGAATCCTCTCATGAGGTCGACCTCTATAAATTATGAGACACCTCACACGACCACGTCCGACCTTGGCTCCAACGACTTGGTGGGATCTTTCAAATTGTGCGCACTCTTTTCCTACCGTTTATTGATACATAAAACCATTTTGATTGCCAACCTTTCACCGATAAGGGTAGCCCCGCCACCAATCCTCTCCCCATTACTGTTTGCAGGGTCAGCGGCTCCACCTTCATCTTTGCCCCCACTCCCTTGCCCAACAAAGCGGCCGCTAGGGTCAACGCCTCTATCTATGCTGAGCAGAATCCTCTCATGAGGTCGGCCTCCGTAAATTGTGAGACACCTTGCATGATCGCGTCCAACCTTGGCTCCAACGACTTGGTGGGGATCTTTCAAATCGTGCGCACTTCTCTCCCGCCGTTTACTGATACATAAAATCATGTTGATCGCCAACCTTTCACCGATAAGGGTAGCCTCGCCACCAATCCTCTCTCCGCTACTATTTACAGGGTCACCCATGTCTCCTGTTGTCCAGATGCTTTGTAGAATGAAAAAAATTCGTCCACCGACATTGTTTCACCCCCCAGTTGCCCGTGGCGACGCGATCTCACAGGTGAACATAATCTTCCATGCATTCGACATTAGTTGGCTTGGAGCCACCTCTAGACAATTCAGCATGTCAACCACCAGTTGTGGGAGTGGCAATCTCATA